GTTTCGCCATTTTCTTCAGGGTATTGAGGGTGCTAACTCATTTAGTCTCAATGCGCATAAATGGTTCCTCACCACTTTGGATTGTTGTTGTCTTTGGGTAAAGGAACCAAGTGCCCTAATCAAAGCTCTCTCAACTGATCCGGAGTATTTGAAGAACAAGGCTTCTGATTCAAACCAAGTGGTGGACTACAAAGACTGGCAAATAGCATTGAGCCGACGTTTCCGAGCAATGAAGCTATGGCTTGTGCTCAGAAGCTATGGCGTATCAAACCTAAGAAACTTCATAAGGGGTCATGTAAAATGGCTAAACATTTTGAAGGGCTCATAGCCATGGATAAGAGGTTCGAGTCGTGGTTCCTAGTTCAGAAATGTTTTGATGGTTTGTTTTCGGATTTCGTCATTAATGATGGGAAATGCTAATCAAAAGCTTTTAGGTGAAGAAGATGCAAATGAATTCAACAGAAAGCTTTTGGAATCCATTAATGCGACAGGGAGAGTGTACATGACACATGCTGTGGTTTGGGGAGTGTACGTGATAAGGCTTGCTGTTGGAGCAACACTTACAGACTATTGCCATGTGAACAAGGCTTCGAAGGAGATACAAGAGCATGCACATACCATGCAAAGTTAGTTTTTGGTGACAACATGAAAATTCTGGCCGGTCCACAAATGAATGAATTCAAGCTGATCACTAGATTTCCATGTCTGTAGCATTATAATAAAGTCAAATACTTAGGCTTAACAATGAATCACAAGTTAGTTTTGTGTTTTTCTCTTTAAAATCTTCTTTTGCACTTGTAATGATAGTATATTGTATTTATAATAGTGATTCATTGTTGTATATCAAAAGTATAACACTATAATAGAGTTGTGTTAAAGCATCTTACTTAAAATTAATTGGCAATGCATAAAGAGGCTCACAAGGATCATAGAATAGTTTGAGAGATATTATTTTGGCAAACTCTCTCTCTCTCTCTCTCTCTCTCTCTCTCTGTGCATAACTCCCTAATTTTCTGAGATTGTTTAGATGTTATTAGACCATAAATTAAACAGATGGGAGATATGAAAACGGACCCATTTGATTATTTTGCTAGAGATGTCATGGCTAAGAGTTTTACAGCTATTATAGGAGCTGATGAGTAGTTCCAACTATTTTTTTTACAAAAAATAATTTGGATGTGTTTTTTATATAGGGATGGCAGGGGGCGGTAAGTTATGGAGGCTTGGTGGTGGTGTTTGTGTCTACATGGGGCGGTGGTGTTTCCTCATTCTGTTTCTGCAGGAACAGCCCAACAGTGTTTGTTGAAAAAACTTGAGTTTTAGGTCCCATTCTTAAGGAAGACTCAAATTTTTAAATATCATAAATACTTCATGTAAATATTGTTTTTTGTCATAATTATTTGAATATCTTTACCACCAAAAAAAAGCAGTCAAATTCAATTTCAATTCAAACTAGATGAATAGAGAGGCAGACAGAGTAATTTCCCATATTTTAGAACCACCACCAATCTCCAAAACCCATTGCACCCCAACCACGGTAACCCACAGCACCACAATCAACTCCCTTTTTTTCCTTTTATTATTGATACAAAGAAATTCTTTCTTTTGCTTAGAGTTGATAAAATTGGGATGAACCTTGGAGTCAGTGATTGAGATCCAAGGGTCGTCGCCTTCGTGTTTGTTGTACTGGATGAAGTTATAGAGGTGGGGTCTTTGCCTTCGCTTTTGCCCTCACCTTCGCCCTCGCCTTTGCCGTCTTCATCCATTGTAGAGGTATGGGGGAGAAAAGTTGATTAGATCAGTCCAACTACCAAATGTGTAGCATTCTTTTCGCCACAATTAAAAGTCATAGGATAGTCTCAAGATGCTATGATTTTTCAATGTTAACCGAAAGAAAGATGATGTTATTAATTAGCATGCAATTTTCTAAGCTAATGTTGAAGGTTAAAGTATTGTGCAAACTTTCAGGACTACACACCAAAAAAAAAAAAAAAAACCAGCTCAATTTCTCGAATTATGGATTCATTTAGTGGGATTGCAGCATTATGGTTGCAGATTGTAAGATAAGTATGGAAAGGTGTGATGTCTGTGTGGCTGAAACCTGTTAATGCACAATTTTGCAAACTATAAACAGTTTTAGTCGAAAGTGTGTCTTATCAGCTTTTGTGTTGTAAATGAGTCGTGTTTAATAGATTTGTATCATATTTAGCTAATTTCTTATCGACCCATTTATTTGGCAAGTCTAACAATTATTTATTTGATGGTCCTTTACCATCCGAACCTACAGATGATTAACTCAAATTCGATTATTTCGTGTCAATTCGCGTCCAGTAATATCTGGGATATTAGAAAGAGCTGACATGTGATATTTAGGAGGAGTGTATTTACTGTCTTAAAATAGTTATGCCTCTGTACGTGAAGATACTAATGAACATATGTAACTCTAAAATTTAACTCAGATATGCTCACAACAACACCTCCTCAAGGGTCACGTTCATTGAAAAGTTAAAGTGAAGCTAACTCAAATCAATATCACCTAAAAAACAAATATGTAGGAAACTATAAAATTGAAGAAAAACAATGATACTCACAACAACACCTCCTCAAGGGTCACGTCCACTGGAAAGTTAAGGTGAACCTGAATCAAATCAAAATCACCTAAAAAAACAAATATGTAGGAAACTACGAAATTGAAGAGAAACTATGAAATTGAAGAGAAACAAGGAAGCTAAAGTTGCATAAAGGTAAGAAAAGAAGCTTAATTTTCCACACTTAGAACCACTAATTAGTGCAAATGTGTGTTGCACATAAATAGTTGTAAGAATAAAATATTATATATGAAGTAGTAGAAGATTACTTTTTCAAAATCCAGAATTATAGTAAACATTAAGAATTAATCATTATGGATCTAGGTTATAATAAACATGAGGAAAGTGACTATGAAATTTACATGACAATATAAGAAGTTAAATGAACCATGAGTAACATGTAATATCCTAATTGTTAGAACATATATAACTCTGATACTACTTGTTGGAATATAACTCTAATACCATTTGTTGGTTTAATTACGTCAAAATCAAAGGTGATAATCCCGATCTTGGGTATGACCAAAGTTGAAGAGTTTGGTTTAAGGCGAAATGTTAGAATTTGACCCAAACTCTCCAATTGTCAGGAATGAGAGTTTGTTGGATAATCAATTTAAGAGTCCTAATAAACTATTGATAGGTTTATTAGTGACCTAATTAAATAGGAAGAGTTTTAATATATCATGAATAGGTATATTAGACATATAATAGGAAACATAATGATCAAGTTATATCTGAATAGATTTGGATTACAATATTTTATCTCTCTAAATAAGGTTGAGTATTATATAAAATAAGTTTGAGTATTATGTAATCAGTTACCAAATAACTAGATTTCAGTGAATAATATATCAATATGAATTTTTGGTCCATGGATGTAGATACGGTATACATGTATGAGTATGCTATATTGAACAACGTTATATCTTTGTATCATGTTTTTATTATTTTTCTATCTTTAAATTTCTATTTTCTAGTAAGTATTATTTGTGTTAATTAAATGGATAAGTTGGTCTTTGCCAGCTAACTTTCATCTTAGGCCATTTGACAGAAGCAACATTGAGAGAGCTAAGGATTTCTAATCCTAGCTGAGTATCCATGGATTTAGGCCTGATATTATGAACTTGGAGTTTACAATGACTCAAGATTCTCATTCAGAGTGGATTCTTTGATCATCAAAAAGCCTGCAACACCTTTCTTTCCATAATTGCCAGTAAACCAATAGAGAAATCCCCTTTGCTAGAGCATGACTCAGAGAAGAATGCTTATAAATTCTAGCAAGTCTCATAAACCTTACCATAGAATCTTTATTACATATCACCTGAAATCCAAATAAGAAAGAAATTTTTTTTCCATACAGCTTGAGCATAGCTGCAGCTCATAAATAGGTGCTGCATATTCTCAGAATCCCCCAGACATAATGCACATCTACTAGCTAATGCAACTCCCACATTTAGAAACGTAGAATCCATTGGGAGTATATTACGTAGAATTTTCCATCCAATCAATTGAGAACTAGGGAGCAATGATTGCTTCCAAATAGTAGCCGCGTAGACATTAGACTAACCAGAAGATCTAATAAGGTGCCAAGCTGATTTTAATGAGAAGTTCCATAAAGCTGTGTGCTACCATACTAGCCTATCCTCTTTGTTAGACAATACTGGAGTAGCAAAGTAGATCGCTTGTTTTACTGAGGAATCTAGTAGCTGCTCTATCTCCTCCAACTCCCAACATCCATTAACCAGTAGATCTGAAAGCTTAGGAAATTCAGTAGGCATTGAATTTGCTTTCAGAATTAGAGGACCTCCACCAGTCCAGTTGTCACACCAAAAGTCCACAGTGTCCCCCTTGCCCACAATCCTCCTTGAGTTTGCGACTACAACCTCAAAATAAGGTACTAGAGAAGAGAAGGATCTAGAAGTGCCATGTCTTATGTTCCTTAGTATGTGTTGTTGATGTAGGTATTTAGCAGAGAAAAAATTTGACCATAATGAAGAAGCCTGCAACAATTACCACACCTGTTTTATTCTAAATGCCTTCTGCACCTCTTCAAACTTTCTGATACCCAATCCTCCCTTATCTTTGGGTAAAGTAATTGCCTTCCAAGAGCACCAATGCCTCTTCTTTACATTTGGTTGAGAAGACCAAAAGAAAGAAGCCATGGCTGAGTTTAACTTTGAAATAATACCCTTTGGTAGGTTCAACACAGACAGTAAATGGACAGGAATTGAGTTTAACACTAACTGGATAACAACAATCCTTCCCACATTAGATAACAACATAGAATACCACCCCCTCAATCTAGATTGAAATTTACTCAGCAGATCTTCAAGGTAGATTAATTTAACTCTTCCCCTAATAATTGGACAGCCAAGATAAGTTAAGGGACACACCTTTAATGGTATATGTGCAATATGAGATAGCTTTGGGTTTGAAGCTTTGTTGATGCTTTTGTGAGAGACCCCTTTAATGCTTTAGTTTCTTGAGATGTTATTGTTTGCTCCTTGATGGATGGTAACTACTACAATCAATGGCGTAGCTTGATTACTTAGGTGGTCCTCATCTTTCATTGGTGCAGCTACAGGCCTATAGCAGTTTAGCTCAATTATTTATAGGGTTGGCAACGGACCCTATTATGTCGGGTTTGTGCTTTGTCAAAATTTGTTAGATTCTATACTTGACCTTTGATGGTCGAACATATAATAATTATATGTGAATAGTTCATGTAGTATGATCGGATATTTGAGTCCTGGCCTATATACCTAGATGCATGTCAACATGTTCAATCTGCTTATAATGTAAATACATTTACTCTAGACTAGATCAATACCTCGTTACTTTTGATAAAAAAAAAATGGTCTCTTTATTTCTTGACAATCTGGGTTTGTGTATTTAGAACTTTTTTTTGCTTAGATTTGTGTACCTGTATACCTTGATCCATGTTGCATTTTGTGAATTGTTAGTATAGTTATGTGTAGTGGTTGGGAAATTGTTAGTATAATTGACAAAATTGTTGCAGATAGAAACGGGTAGCGAACAAACC